CTGCACAACCTCCTGGAGGACCTGCTTGCTCCACCTTATTCCTTTGGAATCTCTGCCCCATCCTTTCCTCTCCAGCCTGGCAGAGTCGAGGCCACCCACTGGGCCCTAGACCCTGCCACCAGCTTGTGCCCTAGAGCTGGCCCATCCCTCCATACCCACTTCCTCCAAGTAAGCCTCTTATTTGTCACAAGCAAGACTCTAACCTCTGCCCATGTGTGGCCCCAGCACCATCTAGCTCCAGGCCTTGTTTGCAACCTGGCAGTGGCAGGGCAGGCACTACACGGCCCTCAGCCCCAGGTGCCAGAGGGACAGGCAGAGATACTTGGGGGCACAAGGTACCCTACACACAGGAGGCCCAGGGGAAGAGGAAGAGAGAGAGAACAGAGTGAGGGAATCTGGACAGGAACAAGGAGGACCCAGCCATGAGGGACTGGCATTAAAGGGCCGGTAGAGGCAGGGGGAGCCCCACTCACGTATTTGGCGAAAAAGGACTTCTGCTCCTGCGGGTTCTTGGCCTTCTGGGCCTGCTCCATTTCCAGGCGCTCGATGAAGGCTGCTGTCTCTGGGCTGGGGCAAGCAGAGAGGAGAAGTACCCTGAGGCCACCAGGAAGGGTAGCAGGAGGGGCCAGGGTCAGGGTCAGCCACAAGGGCACCCACACAGGCAGCAGAGGGACCCCCAATGCCCCACAACCCCCACAATTCCTCACCCTGGGGCTGTGACTGGAGGCTGCAGCTGCACCGAAGTATTGAATAGCTCCAGGTCTACATCCTCCACCTCGTGGCCCCGGCAGCCCCCAGGGTGGGTCACCACTGACACACCTACCACATTGCCGGCCACATCCACATGCAGGGTCAACTGATCTGAGAGGTGCGACTCCACCAGGGAGCACTGCAGGAGGGAATGAGGTCAGGGGAAAGCGAGCAGGGGCTGCTGCTCAAAGTCCCCACCCCTAGCCTCCTGTCTCCATACAGGATACCCAAATTATCTTTCCAAACCTTTCCATGGCTCCCTGCACAAGCCCAGGCTCAACAACCTCCCTAGGGGCGTCACATTAAAGCACCCACCCTCCTGGATAGATTCCTCCCCCTCCCCCAGCCAGGAGACCCTCAAAGGCAAGGTCAGCTCTGTGTCTTCCCAGACTCTGCAGATACCAGAAACATGGGGGGCTTAGTGGCAGAAACAGGTCTGAGGTGGGCAGCAGGGGTGACGATGGGGGGCTAATTCATGTCACCAACTCACCGCAGGAACAAAGGAAGAGACGTAGCCACCAGCTTCTGGACCATCGAGAGCCCCAGGCCGCCTTGGGACCCGGACACGGTACAAGCCGTTTAGGGCTGCCACATCCTGCAGGGTAGGCAGAAGGCGCACTGCTGAGAGGGACAGTGCCTAGCCCTTGTCAGGCTCTGAACCCTAGCAGGCCACTGCCAGGCTGTGACTCCCAGCAGGCCTTAGCCAGGAAAGCCTTTCCCAGTCTCGCCCACAAGCCTGGCTGCCCAGAGTCTACCCAGAACTCCTCCCACTGGGTAGCTCAGTTGGTCGGTGAGGCCAGGAACACCAGGGACCACACCACCTGGGGGGACAAGGAGAATAGAGCCTAGCCCAGTGATGGAGTAAGTCCTGAGGGCACCATCCTATGCCTGGATCCAGCTACACCTGGCATCTGCCCCACATCTGGACTTGCCAGTTACAGGAGCAGTAATGTCTCTGTGGGGGGCAGTTGTGACAGAATCACATGGGCACAGGGAGAGCACCCACCAGCATACAGCGGTCAGAATAAAGCCACATGGCCCAGCCTCCACACACTACGTTTGGCCAATAGGCCAGAAGTGGAAACAGACTAAGCAGCTTTTCAAATTTTCTCCACAAGATGCTGCTCCCCACCCTCCTTCTCCCTCTCTGTCCTCTGGCCTCGAGCCCTCCCTGTACCACCCCAGGGAGGCTCCAGCTGGCCCTTGAGGAGGACACAAAGCAGGTGACAGAAATGATCTCTTGTCTAATCACAGCTATTTTGAGGACCTCTTTCTTCTTATAGCCAAATCTCATCCTAAGTGATCATAAAACATCTCAGCTGACTCTGGAAAATGGGAGAAGCCAACTGTGTGACTCCTGTGGGGGAAGAGGGTATGCCAGGCAGAGGGAACAGCATAGGCACAGGTGCTGAGGTAGGTACCTCATGTTCCTTGGGCTCTAAGGACAGCCACAACACCCCTCAGCCTGGGGCAGTCACCAGGGGATGGAGGGTAAAGATGAGGGCAGCAGGAGACACCAGACCCTACTTGGACCTGAGGGGTGGAGTGACAGGAACCAGAGCAAGGCAGCTGGACAAATGGCCAAACAATCCCCTCCCCCCCAGCCCAGCCCTGTCTTAGATCCCCACCTTACCCGGAGTCGGCCCCGCTCCTCTTCGTTGAGCTGCCGCTGAGATAGGGACAAGGTGCCATCCTGCTGGTTCCAGAGCAGTGAACCCCGCTTTCGGAAGTGGGCACTGTCATCTGTGGGGAGCCCAGGCTCAGAGACCATCCCCAACTGCATCCTTCAATCCAGGCAGGAACCAGGAGACCTGGATACAAATCTTGGCCTGGCCATCACCCAAGGGTGACCAAGTTCCTTCCCCAATCTGAGCCCCCATGTTCATATCTGCAAGTTGGGGACACCCCTACCATGTCCTGCCTTCTTACCTCACAAGGAAGCACATGGCATATTCATGAACTCCAAAGCTCCCAAGTCCTGCCTCTGCCCTGCCAGGTGACCCAGAGATAGTCATACAACCTCCCTGAGCCTCAGTTTCTCCAGGGACAAAATATGAAGTCTGCAGAGCTCAGGAGCTCCCAACAGCCTAGCTGTGTCAGCATCAATGGAGCTGTTCATGGAGCAGGCACAACTGGATTCTGACTCCACAAGGTCCTTCCCCCTGGCTTCAGGATTTGGAACAAGGACCTCAGGCTCAATTACTAACTCCTGGACAGTGCTAACACTGGCCCTGGGAACCTGGACACTTGTACCACAGCAGTTTAAGTTGGACTTTAGAGGTAGTCCCAACTGCCACTCATTTACAAAGGGATCTTCTGTGGTGTCTACTCTGAGCCTGTTTCCTCTTCTGGAAAATGGGGGTAATACTAATAATACCTGCCACCTCAAGTGACTGCTATGAGGACATCTGAGTTAATACATGCAAAGCATCAAACCACTAATTCTGGGCTCGGCACCTGTAGCTCAGTGGCTAGAGGGCCATCCACATATACCAGAGATGGTAGGTTTGAACCCAGCCTGGGCCTGCCAAACAACAATGACAACTACAAGCTGAAAAATAGCCAGGTGTTGTGGCAGGTGCCTATAGTCCTAGCTACTTGGAGGCTGAGGCAAGAGAATCGCTTAAGCCCAAGAGTTTGAGGTTGCTGTGAGCTGTGACACCACAGTTGGAGGCTGAGGCAAGAGAATCACCTAAGCCCAAGAGTTTGAGATTACTGTGAGCTATGATGCCACAGCACTCTACTGAGGGCAACAGATTGAAACTATCTCAAAAATAATAATAATAATAATTCTGGACACATGGTGATTGGTCAGAAAAGTCTGTCCTGAAACTGTTACGGCTTCACTGACCTTGTGAAACTAAGATTTGTCTTATAGGTATGGAGGCGCTGAAGGCAGAGTTCTCTTCTCCTGCGTCCCCTCCCACACTTACACCTCCATGGGCAAAGCGGTTAGTAAGTGGATAGTGTGCCTCACACCAGATGGCACCCAGACCTCGAGTCTTGACTTCACAGGGCAAGAACGTTGCTGGACTCACCAATCTCAAATGAGTGCTCCAGCAGCAGTCCCACTGGGCCACAGCCCTCGCCTTCTCGGCCTTCTACCCCAGCCTGCAAGAAAAAAGGGCCTCGGTGAGGACCACCCAAGCCCTCAGCAGGGCAGACTAGCAGGCTAGGTGCCTTATCTTCATATTCATGTTCAATCACTGATGCCTTCCAGATTCAAGCACCAGAGGCTGGAATAAAAACCCCAAACACTTGACAGCTGCCCTCATTCCCACAGAAACCACCCATTTTATGAATAGTCATGAGCTCATTTTATGAATATGAGCGCTACAATCTCGAGAAAACCAGACCCTACGAATTCCTCTTACGTTCTTTCCAAGCCAACTATCCCCAGGTCACTTTTATACCCTGTACTACAAATAATTATAAGTTAAAACACATCTGCCCTCTCCCAGGGCTTCCTTTCCATGCTAATATACAAAATACCTAGTTTTCACCTTAACAGCCCCGCCTGAATTCAGCCCCCTTCAAGCACATTAAAGAGCCCATGCCCTTCTGTTCTCCAGCTTTCCAAATTTCAATCTCTGCATCCTATATCTACTCACGCCCTCACACTCTGCGAGCTCGAGATCCTGCCCCCTTATGCATATTCAGGATAGAACTCCTCTCCAAGCCCTGAAGTGCCCCTTGCCCTCGTCTTTTTCATTTTAACCGCCCCGACGTCTGATTCGCTGAGATTCCATCCAAGCACCTCCCCCTCATACATATGCAAAAGTATTCCAAACCGTCTTGTCGTTTTCTCTTCCAGTCCCAGCAGCCTTCTGCCTGGTTGGGTTCCCTGCTGCCCGTGCGTGACTGTAGCCTGGCTTCTCAGGGTTCTCCCACCCCTTCCTTCTCGGCCCTTCCTCTTCGCTCCCACTTTAACCCACCTAAAGACCCAAGGCTTTCGTCGACCTTGCTCGCTGTACAGAGCTAATGAGCACTCACCCCCCGCGCAGCGGCCCCTGCCCGGCAGCTGCTGCCTCGGACTCCACTAGGCACCGCTACCGCCATCAGCAAGAGAAGAAGCAGCCGGGTGGCCCCCGCGTCGGTCACCATCTCAGCTCCTTCCCACCAGCCCAGGGGCCGATGTGAACCGAGAGCCGAGTAGCACACCGGAAAAAACCGGCCTCAGTCCGGCGCCCGTGCGCCGGCGCCGGCTGCTTGCGCCTGCGCCGGCTGCTTGCGCCTGCGCACTGACATCAGTCCGCTGCCGGAGCCAGTAGTCCGCGGGGGCTGGCGCGGGAGTCGGTGACGTAGTTAAACCCGTTCCGCTGCGTTGTGACATCACAGTGCCCCCAGCCCCACCTTTGATTTTCTCCTACGTCTCCTCCCTACGTTTGGCTCTAGGGGCGGGGGCGTTGCGATGAAGCGAGGGCATGAAGTTAGGCCGGCCCTCAGTGGAGCAGGTGAGGCGGGACCAGGTGGGATGGCAGGTGAGAGGCTGAGCCAGGCCAGGAGGGGTTGGACTTGGTGAGGGGACCGGGTAAGGGATGGGACCGGCAATTCGGAGACATCTAATACTGGTTTCCTCAGTGCGGGACTGCCCCAGCCCTACCTGCTGCGGAGGTCAGGCCCAACCTCTTGGTATAGTTACCCCCGAACTTCGCCCTTTTAGAATGCCCCCTGGGTCTAGCCTATCCAGGCCGTCCCGGGCGGCTCCAACGCCATCTCCTGAGCGGCGAGTTCGACCAGCTGCGGGACTTCACCATCTTTGAGAGCAACTTCGTGCAGGTGGGAAACCCCTGCTTTCCCTACTTCTGACCATTCCCTCATGGGATTCCTGACTTCCAGATCCTATGTGACCCCTGGCCCCCACCCACATACCTTCAGCCCATTAACATCTCTGTGAATACTGGACTCTGATTCCTTTGCCTCCGTTTCCATAAACACTCATATGATTCTTGACCTTTAATCCCCAAATATTTGGACCCCAACCTGATTTTTAGCTTACTTGGTTCATGACCTTTTTACCCTGCCACGATGCCTGACCTCTGATCCCTCCCCAATTCTGCTCCCCATCTATCCTTTCTCTAATCTCTGACCTATGGCCCCAGGTGACTCGGTTAGGAGAAGTTGCCAACAAGGTCACCATGGGGGTGGCAGCCTCCAGTCCAGCCCTGGAACTCCCAGACCTGTTGCTGCTGGCAGGCCCTGGCAAGGAGAACGGACACCTGCAGCTCTTCGGGTGACTGCCCCCACCTCAGCCTAGACCTCTTCCTTCCTAGGCTCTGGGCACCCAGACAACCCCCAGGACCAGGAATTTGGGATGGCTGCCAGCCCTCTCTGGGCCAGGGGCCACCTGGGAGAATGAAGACAGGGCAACCTTCAGGGGCCAGAAATCAGGGACCAGACAGACATGATGGGGACAGTCCTCAGCTACACACTGACAGGCAGGAGTCAGGAGAATTACCACTTATGCAGTGCCTGCTGCACTCCAGGTGCCCGTAGACCATGCATAATGCTCTCATCTCTGACCTCATATCCTCATGAGATGGAGCTCCCTAGTGCCATTCTCCAAAAAGGTAAACTGAGGCTCAGGGCAGGGAGCCAGTTGCCCAGGTCCCCACAGTGGATGAGGAATGGGCTGGAATTGGAACCTCAGGCTCCTTGTGATTACTGATCTCATGACTCTTGAGCCCCCACACCTTGCTGCACACTGCCTCTTTAGGTCTTTTTTTTTTTTTTTCTTTTTTTTGAGACTGACTCTCATTATGTCACCCTTGGTAGAGTGCTGTGTCATCACAGCTCACAGCAGCCTCAAACTCTTGGGCTTAAGCGATTCTGTTGCCTCAGCCTCCCAAGTAGCTGGGACTACAGGCGCCTGCTACAATGTGCAGCTACTTTTTTGTTGTAGTTGTCATGGTTGTTTTTAGGAAGTCTAGCCCGGGTTTGAACTCACCAGCCCCAGTGTATGCGGCTGGTGCCTAACCACTGAATTACGGGCTCTGAGCCTTTTTTTTTTTTTTAAACAGAGTCTCAGTTACCCTGGGGTTGAGTACCATGGCAGTATAGCTCACAACAACCTCAAACCTTGGGCTCAAGTGATTCTCTTGCCTCAGCCTCCCCAGTAGCTGGGACTACAGGC